TTCAACAACAACAACTGTTTTCCTTTACGTACGAAACGCGTAGGACTGGTACAGTTTTGTTTTGGAGAAGCGTGTGGAAGAATATTTTCTACCTTTTAGTTTTTGATTTTTGATTTTTGAGTTTTATCGCACCTTACTCGAGCACTCCTTGTCTCTGACGGACCACAGCGCCTACTGCGTCATCCACTGGGCCCATGGTTTGATCCTCTCAACAACTGGAACTGGTTATGGTCTTCTGCTCAAGGATTGTTCCACCGCCAGGGCCACGGTTGGCAACACTACCGTCACCGTCGCTCCTCCACACGGAGCCTTCAATGGGACTATACTTGTTCTGCGCAATTGTCCGGGCGCAAACGACCACATAACGAGCCCGCCGACGATGGCACCTGCTTCTTGCCGGCTCCCTTTTGGACCCAACCACTCCCAGAGAACGTGTGCCAAGCTACCGTCCACATCACGCCTTTGCTCGGTACTCTAGCCCTCACCGGCATTGGGACAGAATCGCTGCAGCCGCACCACGACTCCCAACCGTCCTTACTGGCCGCCTGGATGGCCGCCTCAGCCGAGGTGACCGAGTGTGTTGAATGGACCCCTGAAGAAATAGAGATCGACGGCGACGAAAGCCTTCTTGCTGAAGCCCTACTCGAAGACCGGCTGTGTGTGATCAGCGACGCTTATAAGCTAGGTCTGGGCACGGCGGCGGTTCAACTGCTTTCACGTAAGGGTGGCAAGGAACGTATTATTGTTCGTTGTCAAACTCCGGGTCTACCTGATGACCCGAGCGCATATCGGAGTGAATTGATTGGCCTACTGGCCGGTATCATGGTTGTTGATTGGCTCCTGGACTAGTGGGCCCCAACACTTTGATCACCACCCCGCGTCAGGATTGCGTGCGATGGATTTTCGGCGTTGCTCAACACCTTTAGTGACAATCGAGTCACACCGCAAAAAGCCCAGTTTGACCTGGTCTCCTCTATCCGGGAGGCACTTGCTCGCTCCAGGGCCTCGTGGGAACCTAGCCATGTGTACGGTCACCTTGATAAGGCGACATCCTTTTTGTGCCTCTCTTGGTGGTCCAAACGGAATGTGGAAGTGGATGCGTGGGCGGTTGCTTATCGTCACCAGCTCGAAGCTTCTCACCAACTGATTGCACCCAACGCTCGTTTCTTTACGGAATTGGCTGCCCTCTACATTGGTGACGTCAAACAGTCGCGATTGAATCCAGAGCATATCCAGGAACTGGTGGCGCTGCCTGCTCTACGCAAGCGATGGCACGAGCGGCAGACGATTACACCGGAGGCAGAGCTGGAGACCGATTGGACCAGTCTGGCTCGCGCCATGAGCTCCCTTCCGACAGGTGTCCAACGTTGGACCACAAAGCATGTCGTGGTTATGTGTGGTGTAGGGAAGTTCAAAGTCCGGTGGAGTTCCGCAGACTCAGCTGCGTGCCCCTGCTGCGGCGAGTTCGAGGACCACCTTCATGTCCCTCAATGCATGGCGCCCTCGGCGAGTGCGGAATGGGATCGCCGGACGGCGACCTTGGACCAATGGCTTGACGCTCAAGTCACTGACCCAGCCATCAAACACGCTATCCTTCATCTTCTTCAAGAGGTTCGTGATCCGTCCCTACCTTCCAGTCGGGTGGTCCCGGCTCGTCTTTGCAGCACTTTCCTCTCCCAACAACGCATCGGCTACCAAGGTTTATTGGAAGGCCGGCTGTCTGTTCAGTGGGCGGCCCTGTAGGAACAGTACCTTCAGTTACAAGGGAGCCAACGCTCTCCAACCCTTTGGGTCTCTTGCCTGTCGCATCAGCTGATCTTGCTTGGATTTCATATGGGGGAACACCGGAACTCGGTGCAACATTCAGAGGACAACGTACAGCTACGCGAACGTAGCCGCTTGGTGAACGATGGTATACACTCTCAGTTTGATATGGGCCCAACCGACCTTCCCAAGGTAGTCCAACGCATGCTTGCGGTAAAACGCAGAACAGTGTTGAACAAGCCGCTGGTCGATAGGGAAGAGTGGCTGAAGCTGGTCAGAATGGAACGCACGGCCTACCGCCGCGCTCTGGCGCCTCAACGCCGTATCCTTCACCGCTTCTTCCACCCGGCCCAGGCCCCTTAACCCGTTTTGAGGAATCAACGCCCCAAAATCACCCCGCCTTGTCGCAGAGTTGGGATCCTTTCGATCCTGGCTAGAGCAACTTCTGTCCCCCAGATGCCTCCTATGGTTCAAACTAGTCGTTGACTCGTCGCTTCACGGTACTTGACCTTTACAGCCGATTATTCCACCGGCAATCATATGCACTCGCTAGCATTTAATCAATTAATGTTTCAGTTATTATTATTGGGCTCCTGACTCTCATTGTAAAGAGAGCGTACTAGTGCATTGATGTAGCTACTGTTGGACATGATAGACGGTGATTGATATTGCTATTGGGGTGTATTTACGGGGGTCTGAAGCAGCTGTGAGTAGATGATTGATGATTGATCTTGAGATTGGCGACGATCGTTGGCCTTCGATCGCTCTAATATATCTGCTCGGGACTCAGCAGTCCAGTCAGTCACGTTACGTCCCCTCTTCTTCCATTTAGGCGACTCTGTTGTAACGTCTCATCTTGGTCTGTTTTCACCTCCCTCTTGATGAATGGCTGCTGGCACCGAACAAGGTAGCCGAAGAAAAATCGCCATCTAACCTTCAATTGCAAATTGGACTGCAGGATTCTCTCTGACGTCCAGGTTGCTGGCGAGTGGCTTCAAGTGTCTGACCTCCCTCTTGATGAATGGCTGCTGGCACCGAACAAGGTAGCCGAAGAAAAATCGCCATCTAACCTTCAATTGCAAATTGGACTGCAGGATTCTCTCTGACGTCCAGGTTGCTGGCGAGTGGCTTCAAGTGTCTGACAGTTGCATCCAGGTCCAAAGTTTGACTAGGTGCTTCGCGGTACGACGGTCAGAACGGGAGGATCAGTCCTCATCTTAGTCGTTGTACACACGTATTTCGGGGAGTAAGGGGGTTGCTATATCTGGTCCTTTGTCTTAGGAGCTGGGTTTTTATTCAACATTGTAGAGTATGCTGCGACATACTATACTTTGTTGTTGGCTACGCTTTTGTTGGGTCAACAAGCACAGTATGCTGCGACATACTGTACTGTTTGGGTCTTTCTTGTTGGCTACTCTTGTTGGCTACTCGTGTTGGCTACTCTTGTTGGCTACTCTTTTGTCAACTTTTATCATATGCTGCGACATACCATATTTGTTGTTGGCTACTCTTTTGGGTCAACTTGTATCGTGCGGTGTGCTGCGACATACTGCACAATGCTTTTTGGGTCATGTTTTGGGTCGTGTAATACTAGTTGTGTTGTGTGTGTGTGTCCGTGTTTTTTTTTCTTTCTTTTTTTCGGGGCGGTATATATATTTTTCGGTTCATTGTGTAGTTTTCGCGCGTGTTATGGGTTTCATTGTATAGTTTTTGCGCGTGTTATGGGTTTCGTTGTGTAGTTTTTGCGCATGTTATCATATAAATGTAATCGTTACTGTATTACAATGTATTTGACTTACAAAGCAGTATGTATAAATGATGATAGTGTAAATCAATTGTATTCTTAAAAAGAGTGTTACCATCGTCAGATCAACGTGCTTCCCTGGAGGCCGATTTGTCCTTACTACTTACGGACTCTAGCGATCGTACACTTGCACGACAACATGATCGATCTCATATTCAATAGCACAGTCACCTTTATTTGGTCCCCTCGAATTGGGTTCCAACGATGGGATCCAGTTCGACACTGTGATTAGTATGTCGACTCTCCATATAGTCGTCCCCTTCTGCATTCATAACCACACTCTCGTTGTCACAAAACATGTGTGTTGGTTCATCTTCCAAAGGTATTCCAAACATCATCAATTTGGATCTCAAATGCGTAACGGCTTCACCCATACAGTACTCCTACTCTTCGTCCTCTTGTTTTGGAATCGTTGTGTGACATTTCCTCTTTCGCGTCTCGATAGTATGCTTGGAAATCCTCTTGTGAGCTAAGTTCGGCACCCTCCAAACATAGTACATATCCTCAATGCTTGCTCCCTGTGTCCTTCTCTTGGGGCCGCTTCATACTGGCTCAACGTTGCCCATCGTAACATCCCAATCAACTCTTGGAAGTAGGTATGGTTCTTTTGCCCTAATTCACTTGATCCGTCCATCTCTGGTTTGTAAGTACTGATCATTGACTTGATCAGTCCATCTCCGGTTCGTAAACACTGGTCATTGGCGTCAGTGCATTCTTTGGTAGATTGCGTTCTTGTCTTTCAACGTTTCTTTAACACTCTTGACGGCTGCCACGACATAGTCATAACTAGACATTGTCCACATATCGAATCCGTCCAAAGTCTTGTTTCGTAATCTGGCTCCTAGATAGCTCTCTG